TCCTTAAGGAGTTTCTCCAACCCTCAATAGTTAGAACCCTAATGTCTCTGGCCCTGTACAAACTCTGGAAATTGTTAACACACAGCTCCCAGACAGTTCTTTGCCTGACCTTGTGGAATCTAGTCCTATATACTCTCAGCTTAGTATTTAGCAACAGACTCAAAGAGGAACCCTTATAGACTCCTTGAGTCTTTCCTTCATATCTTCATATCTTCTTCCTCTCTGACACTCTGTCATGAAAATTCCAGATACTTCAAACTTCTTAATCTCAGATTTCTGTCCCCTTTACTCAGGGCCCACTATATCTTGCCTTGGCTCTTCCTTCTTGTGCTGTGGTCCAGAAAGTGTCTGTAGGAAATCCTAGGACTCCACTTTTCCTCTTCTCTCAGGGACAATCATCCTATTCTATCCATAGTCCAACACCTGAAAGCAGCAGAAGTATCTCTTTTTTTGTATATTCTCTTCCTATTTTTTTTTTTTTTTTTTTGAGAGATTTTTGCTATAGGGCATGTGTGCTCGCCAGAAAGACAGAAAGAGACAGAGAGATAGAAAGTGAGAAATCATCCCCCAGGGCGGATGGTCACAGCTCAATCCCTTCTCCTCCATTCTCCTCTCGGGATCTTGGGCACACACGCACACACGCCCAGCATGAGTTTAAGCCACCAGGTCCGGGACTTGAACTGTGGTTGACTACATGAGAGTCCAGCAACATAGCCATTACACCAACTGTTGGTCCCTTTTTTTGTATTTTCTTGCCCATATTGTCTCAGATTTTTTTCAGTGAACACCTCTTCTAGGTGGTTTCTGTGTTCTTCTGATATGCCCTTATAATTTTTAAACATTTATATGCTCTCTAGTACAATTAGATGTTCTGAGCTCATTTTATACTTTCCTTGCCCCAGAATCAGAATTCTTCCCTGAAATCAGAATTTTCTCTAAGGAGATCTGGAATCTCTTGGTAAGGAATTATATTAGAGACCAGATGTGACCATTCAGTGAGTTAACTGCTACTGATATGTCATTGCTTCTAGGTTCCTAGAGAAATATTAGAACATTTCAATTGGTAAGTTAAGGTCCTGCTAAGGTCTGAAAGCACTATAGCTGCTTGGACTCTACGAACTAAAACTAAATAAACGGTTGCTCCTTTCTAAGACAAAACCTCTCACTGAGGAGAAACTGCAAAATTGAGACAATAAAAGTAAATTAAAAAAAAAGATCCAAGTGAAAGTGACATTGGACAGTTAAGACAGATCTTAGAAAGTACATATACAGGGCCAGAATGTGGCGTAGTGGTTAAGGCGCTGGACTCCCACATGGCAGACCAAAGTTCAAGTCCCAGACCTGCTGGCTTACTTTCTTACTTTCTCTCTCTCTCCGTCTCTCTGGTGAGCACATGTGCCCTATGACAAATTAAAAGTAGTAAATAAATAAAATAAATAATTCTTTAAAAAAAAAGTACAGGTACGTATTTTTCCTACCTTGTGTTTGCAAGGGAAGACAGACTTCTACAACTATGAAACTAACAATCTTTTCTTGGGATACCCCATGCAGGCAAAATACCAAGTCACTTAAAAAAGGAATAAAAATCAGATGGTTATTATATATTCTGAGAGCAATACTTTATGCTAGAGTCTAAGATAGTTAAAGAAAGGAAATACAGGCCCAAAATTTCATGTTCATCCAAACAAACATCAAAGTATAAAAGTCACAAACTGCTAAGATAATCCTGTGAGCCTTTCCTGGGAAATCCAGAAGAGAATAAGCTTTACACAACCACAATTACTGAAGAAACAACATAAGGGCTGGTGGTCAGATTAACTGTATTTACCCAAAGAATAAAGAATAAATGGAGATTAAAAAGGGGAGAGAATGTAATGTAATGGTTGATTGTTTTGCTGATATACATACAGCTCAAATATCAAAAACACAGGGTAAGAATGAGGAAAGTGGGGCCAGGAAAGTGGCATGATGGTTAAAGCACTGAACTACCACATGCCTGAGTATGGTTCAAATCCCAGACCTGGCAGCTTGCTTTCTCACTTTCTCTCTCTCTCTCTCTCTCTGTCTCTCTTGGTAAGTACACATGCCCTAGAGCAAACGAAAATAATAATAAGAAGAAATAAAATTTAAAAAAAAAAAGGAGGAAAGCATATGCAAAGTAGAAAAAAACTTACTGATTGCCTTGCATTTGTTGGGAGTAAAAAAATATTACTTCCAATTCGATAATAGCAAAAAGAGAAAGAAGAAGAAATGACTAATAATTTTAATATTATTCATAATATTAAGGAACATAAAGGAGAGAGAAGGAACAGAGAGTATTAGATAAAGGTATAAAGATTACCATTGGAATAAAGATACAAACTTTCTTAAGAAAAAAAAAAAAAAAAACAGTCGACCGCGGTTCGCGTCCCGGACCCAGTGGCTTAATACTCACGCCGGGCGCGTGTGCGTGCGTGCTCAAGATCCCAAGAGGAGAATGGAAGAGAAGGGATTGTGGCGTGACCATCCCTCCTGGGGGGTGATTTCTCGCTTTCTGTCTCTATGTCTCTTTCTGTCTGGCGAGCACACGTGCCCTTTAGCGAAACCCTCTCCAAAAAAAAAAGAAAACACAAATGAATCTACAGCATAGAAAAAGTTGGGTTTGTTTGTTTTAATTTGTCAGAGGGTGTGTACACTTTCCATAGAGAGTCAGAGAAGCAAGGAGAAAAGAGAGGGGAAGGGAGAAAGTACCCTCTATGGGACATGCTTATATCACAATCCTTTCTCCTCCATTTCTCCAACCTGTCAGGATTTTGGGCACATAATGCATATGTCCTTAGTACGTCTTTCAAGCTTTTGGGTCTGGGATTCAAACCACATGGTCAGCCATGTTAGAGCTGGATCTCTTAACCACCAGGCCATAAGTCCAACCAAAAAAAGACTTTATATATGTATATAAAGTCTGGGCACATTTGCATGTGTCCCCAAAATCTGAAGAAGAGAATAGTGAAGAAGGGATTGCAGCGTGGCCCTCCATCCTGGAAAATGATTTCCTGCTTTCTGTCTCTCTGTCTCTCCAGCGAGTGTATGCACTTTACAGCAAAAATCTCTATCTAAAAAAAAAAGAAAAAGAAAAAAAGAAAGAAGGAGGAGGCAGGAATTGCAATTCCCTAATAGAATAAAATTGTAACAGGAAACATTTACTGGAGGAAATCATAAATAATCTGATTTAAATACAAAATAATTAGGGTCAGGAGATGGCATGGTGGTTAAGGCGGCTGGATTCCCACAGGGCTGACTATGGTTTGAGTCTTGCACCCAGGGGCTTTGAAACCCCCACGGGGATGTGTATGTGCATCCCCAAAATCTGGAGAGAATACGGTAATGCCATCCCACTGGGGGGTGAGTTCTCACTTTTCCTTTCTCTCTCTCTCTCTCTCTTCTCTCCGGCGAACATATGAGCCTTATGGCAAAAACCTTAAAACAAAACAAAACAAAACAAAAATTTTAAACTATGCTAGTAAGTCTGAACTTTATCTTACAGTCAATGGAGTCTTTGAAGGATAAACTATAGACGGACAAGAACCAGGTGTTTATTTTAAATACGGACTGGACTAAGGTGACAAGACAAGCAGGAGACTCAGCTACAAGGGGAAGGAGCGAAACGCTGCTTTAGCGCCTCCAAGTGGCTCTGGTGGTTTACACACATGCTCTCACTCTAATTCTAATAACAACTTCGAGGTGAGTCTTTTTATTTTTATTTTATCTATGGAGATTTTGAGGTCCAGGAACATTAAGAAACTTGACTAAGTAAAGCAGCCAGTAAGATGCTAGAATCAAGATTTTTAAATGTTTTTCTGTGCTCTCTACCACCACATAATGGTGTTCACAGTGTTTAAAAATAAAGGGACATGAGGACAGCAGGTGGCACGGTGGCAGGGTGCTAGGCTCCCACATGGTCAACCTCAGTCTAAGTCCCAGACTCAGGGGCTTAAAAATCATGCCAGGCACACGTGTGTGCATGTGGCTAAAATCCCAAGAGGAGAATAGAGGAGAAGAGATTACAACGTGACCATTCACCCACCCCTGACTGATTTTTCACTTTCCCTCTCTGCGTTTCCGGCAAGCACACACACCCTATGGCAAAAACCTAAAAACCAACCAAACAAACAAACAAAAAAACAGAATATGAAGAAAAATTGTCCAAGCAAGAAAAGGGTGAAGAGCTAAAAAGAACAAAGAATAGATATTTTAAGAGTTCAACTAGGAAGGTTTGGTGATAGACTAGACATTGTGTAACATTAAACAAGAAAAAGGAGAATTCTGGAACCATATGAAACTACTATTCATAAGAAGTTAAACATATTGAAAAGAAAAACAAAGCAGAATGCCTTTACAGGCCCTTTTATTGTTTACTGCTTTTTTCCCCCTCAAACTAAAACCCAAACTTAAGCATATATGATTTCTTGTTATGTGTTTAAAAAGCAAAAAAACCCTATAATTACAATAACCAGGTCCTTTGAAAACGATTAAGATGTGAATAAATCCACAAACATCTAGATAAAAATTCAAAATGGATTGACAAAAAGGCACCGATGCATGCTTCTTTTTCTTCCTCCTCTCCCCGCTAGGTAAGGAGCAGACCTAAAAACTAGTAATTTTCTAGTAAAATATTTGTTCTCAGTATATAAGACATTGAGAACTAAAAGCTGCTCTTATTGCATAGGCTTTAGGTGTTTCTTTATTGCAATAAAATCTAGTGACAAGTAAGCATATTTTCTTAAATTTTAGTCATCACTTTTTAAAAAGTCGTAATAGAGAATCTTCCACTTTTTCTATTTTTAAAAACAAAATTCCTTAATGTCTCTGAAAAATTTTATTCTTACTCTATTTTTGCTTCATTCTTGTCCCCACTTTAGTGTTCAAAATTTTGTAGGAGAAAAATCTATCAAATTATTTCTAAATACTGAAATAAGCAAAGATATTTTTGCCTCATTTGTAAAATCACACCACATACTTACATGGAATGGTCCTCAGGTAGAGATTATCTCTGATCACTTGCTGCAGTTTGTGGTCAATGGAGCCTTTCTGAAACTGAAGACTCAGGTAATGTCGCAAATCTTTATTAATGACTTTGCCTACAAAACACACACACAAAACAAAATGCATAATTGTTAGATATACAATTAAATGTAGAAGCTAGTGATTGAATATTCAGACCATTTAACTATAAACAGGGAAAAAATAAAATAATTTACTAAAAAGATAAACTTATTCAAAATAGCATAGGAACTATAATAATACAATATGGATATATTTTTGCATGGTACAGGAGGGAAAAGGTATAAGTCAGAGATAGTGACAAATATCCAAGGCAATTTCCTCTGGTCCCATGACTTTAAATATCATTTATATACTCAGAACTTCCAAATTCTGTACCCTCTTCCAAATTCATATTAATGTATCCATCCCCACCTATCTCTACCACATTCCACACTAACCAAATTCTTTTGTTTTTTAATTTGCTGGGGGTGGGGAGTGGGAAGCATGTCCCCACTCCACCCCCAGTGGGGAATGATCACACCACAGTTCCTCCTCCTCCATCACTCCTTCCTTCCAGGATTTTGGCACACATACTACACACTTAGCAAGTTTCTCAAGCGGCCGGGTCTGGGATTCGAAACACATACTCGGCCATGTGGAATCCAGTCACCACTGGTTGGCTCTCAAATTAATTCAGACATATTTGAAGATATACTGAAAGTCAAATAAGCACCTCAAATTTTGGAAAACCAAAACAGAACCCTTAAATCTATCCTCCTCTGATGTTCCCCCCGACCCCAGTTTTCCTTGTCTGAGAAAACAAGTGCACCATCAATGTACAGAACAGTCCTCAAATCTAGAAGTCCTCCTTGATTACTCTTTATTTCTATTCCTCTGATCCAATCTGTTAAGTAACTTTTTAAACCCTATCCCCAAACATATTCTACTTCTATTTTAATTAACACCATGCTAACCCAAACCACAATCATTTCTTATCTGAAATGCTGCAACAGTCTCTCCCCCACCTTCCTGCAGCCATTCTTGCTTTCCTCCTGCCCCCATCCCTGCAACTTACACAGCAGCCACAGGATATTTAAAGTACAAATCAGATTATTACCACTCTGCTTAGCACCCCCAATGATTCTGTTACACTTGGAAAAAAATTCAAAGTCTTATATTGGGCCTAAAAGGCCCTTTGTAAAGGGCCATCTCTGATCCTAACTTACTTACTCTTCCTGTCTTAAACTATGCTTCACCCAACAGGCCATTTTTCAGATCTTCAGAAAGGCCAAACTGGGCCCTAGCTCAGAGCTTTGTGCTCATTACTGAATTGATCAGGCTTTTTTTTCTGTTCACTTGCTTGACTTAGAGATACAATGTGACTAAGAGTAAGACTCTATCATTTGAGGGGAAAATAGAAGAAAAATGGAGAAATATAAGCGGATGCTCCACAAAATATTAAGCAGAAAAATAGGGAAATGCAGAAATCTGATAGCACAATTGGACTGAAAATGTAAATCAAAGCACTCCAAAAACTGCTAATTAGACAAACTTCAGATAATTAGAAGACATCAATGCTAAGACAAAATAGATTATCTTATTAAATAAGTAATGATTAGTTGGGGACCAGCAGATGGCATGGTGGTTAAGGTGCTGGACTCTCACATGGCCGACCATGTAGAGTCCTGGACCTAATGGCATGCTTTCTCATTAACCACCCCCAACCACCACCACCTTATCTCTCTGGTGAGTACACATGCTCTATAGCAAATTTAACAAATAAATAAATTCATTCATCAAATTAAACAAATAATTCTTAAAAGAAATGACTAGTGGGGCTAGCAGATTGCACAATGGTTACGTCACTGGACTCCCACGTAGTCAAGTACGGTTTAAGTCCCAGACCCAGTGGCTTGAAACTCATACTGGACACTTGTACATGTGTGCCCAAAATCCCAAGAGGAGGCGAGATTATGGCGCAGCCATCCCTTCTTGGGGGGGATTTCTCACTTTCTGTCTCTCTGTCTCTCTCTGTCTCTCTGGCAAGCACAAGCACTGTATAGCAAAAATCTCTCTCTCTAAAAAAAAAAGAAAAAAGAAAAGAAAAGGCTAGTTAATTAAAAGTACATTCTTTGTTTTACTTGAACAACATACTTAGGACAGGGTTAGAGGGACCAAAAGGTTACTACAGCTTATTCTCTTAGCTATTACTCCTTAATTCTACATTTCTAATTCCCTCTTTTGCTCTTTTCTCACATGTATAAAATAAACACAACCTAAGAGAGTGTGTTAATGTAAGCAGGAAATCAGAATGCTTGTAAAGTTCAGAGATAACATTCACTCCCTAAGCTAATAAACACCAACTAGAACAGTCCCACTTTTGCCTTGTCAGAAATAGATGCTAAAGAAATGGGGGAACTTTGTGTTTAAAGAAAATAAACTTGAAAAGATATTTACAGGGATGAAAACAAATCCTGAATCCCAGGTGTTTCTTCTGTCAGGCATTTAGCAACGCCACTAACCCAAGTTTAATTTAGATGACAAAAATATACCCAATAATAGTTCGCTAAGTTTTAAAAAAATTAGGTAAGAGATTGCATGAACACTCTATAAATATTATACCAAAGTTTTGGGGTCAGCAGATAGCATGTAGGTTGAGGAGGCCAGATCCTATATGGTGGATTGCATGGTTCAAGTCCTGGACCATGCAGTTTAAAAAATCACACTGGGTGCATGTGTGTGGCCAAAATCTGGAGAGGAAAACGAAGGAGAAGGGATTGCACAATCGTGCTTCACCCTAGAGAATGCTTTCTCATCTTCTCCTCTCTCTCTCTCTCTCTCTCCATCCATGGCAAGTGCATGAGTTCTAATGCAAAAACTAAAATAAAAATTATTTGAGGGACCAGCAGTTGGCATAATGGCTATGTCACTGGACTCCCATGTAGTTGACCGCAGTTCGAGTCTTGGACCCAGTGGCTTAAACTTGCGTGTGCGTGTGTGCTCAAGATCCCCAGAGGAGAATGGAAGAGAAGGGATTGCCATCCTCCCTAGGGGCTGATTTCTCGCTTTCTGTCTCTCTGTCTCTCTCTCTGTCTTTCTGGCAAGCGCATGCGCCCTATAGCAAAAATCTCTAAAACAAAAATTATTTGAAGTAACATAATATGGACTCCAATTCTAAAACCCTGAATCCAATATTAGGGAAATTTTAATTTGGATATAGGACAATATCTGCATAATTAAAAAAGATCATCTGAATCAACACTTCGTTTTTTTAAAGGTTTTTGTCATGGGGTGCTTGCATTAGCTGGAGAAAGAGAGAGAGATAGGAAAAGGGAGAGTAAGAAATCATCTCCCAGAGGGAATAGCCATGTGGCAATCTCTTTTCCTCCATTCTCCTCCTGGGATTTTGGGCACACATGCACACATGCCCAGAGTGATTTTCACCAGGTCTCTGACTCAGACCACAGCAGGACATGTGAGAGTTCACTACCTTAACTACCACACCATCTGCTGGTCCTGAATCCACACATTTCTTAACTCAGTATTTTCTTTCTTTTTAAAAAAAAAAAGCAACTGGACCCAGTAGGTGGCCTGGTGGTTAAAGGCGCTGAACTCCCACATGGCTGACCATGGTATGAGTCTCAGACCTGCCGGCTTGCTTTCTTGCTTTCCTTTTCTCTCTCCCTTTGTCTCTCTCTCTCTCTCCAGTCAAATTAATAACACTACTACTAATAATAATAAAGTTAAATAAATTAATTTTTTAAAAAAAGCAACTAAACTTTACTACAAGGTATAGTAAAGTAAACTCACAGCGATAACTGTAAAGTACTAAGAACCAGACTGGATTTTAATCTATAAAAATAACAGCTATTAAATTAGATATAATTAAAGGACAAAGCCAGCTGTGATTATAAATCACAAATCAATTATAGCATGATGGGCCTCTTAAGAGGAAATGGCACTAAAGCAGCTCAATTCTTATTTTAAGGGCATATGTGATCTTAAGACCTCAGGCCAATTAAAGCAAAAAGAGCTAAATTTAAAGAATAACACCTAGCATTATTAGGACTGGAGTTGTCCGTCTTTGCTCTTGACCTCTGCTCAGATTCTGGATTTAATGCCGAGACAAACAGTGACAAAGGAAAGGGCCAGAGGTAGCTTCTGGAGAGCTGAGCACGCTCTCTAGCAGGTTCCTGGAGAGTGACACACCTAGGGAAGGCACAGAAGCTCTGAGCCCCCTCCCTCAGGCCTTGATTTGTATCCTTTAAAATATCCTTTATAATAAACAGGTAGATATACATATTGTTATATGGAGATTTAAAAAATAATAATAATAAAGAAAAAAATCTATTTGGCAAATCATTAAAGCAGAGTTGGCAGGAGAACTGTGAATATTTTGGCTGTCAGGCAGAATGCTCTTGGGCACGAGTGCTGTGTGCTGAAAGATAAGTTAAAATGGCTTCCACTGTATGGGTGTTATTTTTCTCAGCATGGAGGAATCTATGTAAAGTGAAGTGCCACATATAATGAGAAAGAAATGAGAAACAAGCTTCAGAGCCACATGAATATAGGAACTCCTATGTAGCTTGTGATTTTTCCAGAGGGAACAAGGTATAAAATAGGACAAACAAAAGTCCTTTAGGCTAGTCGGACATTTGCTGCTCAACAAGGCCTTGCAGTACTAAAACACAAAGAACAAAGTCAACTTGGGTTACTTTTTATCCTACGAGGGATTATTCATACAATTTATGATTTTATAACAGTTTGTGAAGGGAAAGACAATAAAAAGCAGGAAAAAAAAAGTAAAAATCACTATCCGAGACAGAATTTCTCTACAAAAAAATATCTAAAAAGTCATATTCAGAAGGATCATACAGATAAAGAAAGATGTCCCAGAAGAACAAGCATATAATATGAGAAGATACTTTATGAGCATTTTTAGGCAAAAGATAAGTTGTTTATAGTATTCTATGATTCAGCAGATCCAGAAAGAAGAAACAAAATGTCTTGGGAAAAAAGTATTAATTCCAAATTAAGTCTCAAAGTGAGTTTATCATCAGTACTAGTTTACCTGCCGACACACATGACTGATGCT